GATTAACTGATTATTAATAAATAAATTATTTTTATTATTTTAATTTCTATAATTTTTTATATTTGTAAATTATATAATTACAAATGATTAATAATGTGATTGCTTTTTTATCAAAATTTTGCTTAATTTATTATTATTTACTCTTGAATTTTTTTAACAAAAATAAAAAAAAATAAAAGGACTGGGCCGGCCCAGTGCCCGGCTCGCTCGATCCGGGCCACGGGTTTGCTCGGCCCTGGCCCGATGTGTCGGGCCAGCCTATTTGGACAGGCCTTGGCAATATGTGAGTCCACAACTTGGCAAAAGACGGATTAACCCGTCAAAATGCTTGCATTAGTTATGTAATTTCCCAAATTATGTAAGCCGTTGGACATCTCTTAACAGCTGAAGTCTCAGATTATTGATAATGTTAGTTAACCTTTCGATACATAATAGTTGCTCTAAATTTGACTTGGGTTTCTATTTATACTATAAGTATGCATCCAACTTGAAACTTGCTTTATATATCAAACTCATTTAAATTCGATAAAGGGTTTGAGTTATTTTATAGCCGTTTTAGTGATGAAAAATAATATCCAATCAATAGCAGATAAGTGTCCCACATTATGCATAATTAAGTCAGCATTTTAAGATAGTCAGAGGGCTAATTTGTTCGACTCGACAAGTCGACATCATGCAAGGACGACTCGAAAGGCGTCACATGTCGACAACTCGAAAGGCGTTGTGCGTCGACCTCTAGCTAAGTCGTCTGCTTAATCACTCCACTCGGACGACTCGTAGGTAAACACCTCGCTAGGGTGACTCGAAAGATGGTTCTTTTCGATTACCGGACGAGTAGAAATGCGACGAAATGTCTCAAACTCTTTCCTATGCACTGGTGACTAATCACCTCACAATAAATACCATTAAATGCATTATAGGTGTCATCATTCCTCTGCTCCAATAATCTTTATGATACATCAGACCACGTCGGTAACGCACACCCCCAACCACTTCATATTAAAAATCAAAGTGACATCTTCTCCACTCGTCGGCCGACACCTGTGAAGCTGAGGCTGACACGGCCATCGTCTCATACTCGGCCAAATTATCATTCTACCCTTCTACCACCAATATAAGCAAGAGTACTATTTTCGATAATAGGGTAAGTTCTTGACTACTACTCATTGTGCTTAAGAACTACTGCAGTTCATTTTTCCTTCTCCACTCAAGCAACTCACTGACTTGATCATCGGAGAAACAACCGCGAAGCCCAACCCCACCCTCTTACGATTTGCTACTTGTGCATGGAAGAACAACTTACTCAAGAATCAGATATTTGGAGAGTTAGAGAACATTCATCAACTTAATCACTCCCCTCATTTGACTGTTTGATATCATACATCAACAAGTTGTCATCTCATTTTGCAAACGAAATGAACAGATAAATGGTAGTAAAATAACCTGCTCTATGTGACTAATAGAATGGACTTTACCATTATTCTATTTATGATAGTTTAATCTTGTACTCAATTTTTCCAAACACATGGAATAAACAGAATGATATGTCGTTACAAGCACTTAATTGATATGTCAATCATATTTGATCTTGCTCATCATTATGTCCACATCGTAACAATATCTTAGAAGTATGTTATATCAACAATATATCAGCGCGCTAATTGCATGCAGATTGAAAAATACTAGCCTCTTTTACATAAACTAGTACAGTGTACGTGCATTACATATAGTCATACTTGTCATATTTTTTTTAACTAATAGAGGACCATAATACATTTAAAATATCGAACTTTTCTTACAAATTAAACAAATTTTCAAAATTTAAGTTTTAAATGATTTTGGATGTAAATAAGGCTTAGTGATTTTTTTAGTATTTGATCATTCAATCATGTTAGGGATTTTTTGCACGAGTTTCTAGAAATCTATAACTTTTTATATATAAAAATGATACAAAGTGTGATAATTTTAAACAATTTAAAGCAAAATGCTACTTTTGGATTATATATATTTAAAAAGCCACATATTAAAGAATGAAAGGATGAGATACACTTCATGAAATAAATAAAATAATTCTTTAAACTTATAATATAAGTGATATGCAAACTTGAAGGGTGTAACAACATTAAATTTTTTTTTCTCTTAAGTTACTTCATAAACACATATTCGTTCTCCTTTAACAATTATATTTCTATTTCTTTCTTAGTTTGAACTACTTAATGATAGTTGCATGGAAGGTATGACATGTTTAAGATAATTTGAAAAATTAATGCATATTTAGGGAACTTTATTTCCTCGAGTCTAAAAAGGTGAATTTCACAAATTGGCTTACATGCCCAAAGGGAAAAAACTTCTAATTGTAAATATGTACACATTACCTTCCATACTAAGTACAATACACAAACCAAGGATGCATAGACATTCATATTTACATTCATATCCAAAATTTCTTAAAATTATGGTCAAAACTAGAATAAATGAACTAATCATGCAAATGTAATGCATTTCATATTTGACAATGCATGATAAATGCATTCATATTCTTATTCCATGGATACATACCAAACTAAGGTAAACATAAATTTAAAAAAATCGCTTGTAGTGATATGCTTAGTTTGCTTCTATAAAAAAATCAGTAGTTATGCAATTCATGCGATCGATAGCGTCTCTGTGGTCCTGGATGAGGGTAGTCAACGAGGCTTATATAGGTTTAGAGGCGAAAATTGATATACTCTCAAGCGTCGAGTTCTATTTGTGAGAGAAATGGACTTGAATCTTGTGGTTTTTGAGACGTATAGATTCGGCTTCTTTCTTTCTCGTCTAAATTTTGATTATGAATGGAATTTTGGTTGGTGAAATTTGATAAAATTTTGTTGTTTATAGTGATTGGTGGGAGGTGAATAGTTGTAAAGTTTTTCATCATTAGTATAAATAAAGTTATATTTAGTGTCAATAGTTAGTAGATGAATATTATGAGTGGGTGGTTAAATGAAATTTTGATGGTCATAAATATGGAGGTAATGAAAAATTGAGTATGCATATGTCATCATGTATGTATGAAAAGATGAATGGATGTATAGTCAGTGTGAGGTTATGAAAAATTAAGTATTTGTGTGTTTCATGTATGCATGAATGGATGTGTTGAAGGGCATTTTGGGAAGAAATGTTTTAACATAGCAACCTACATTTATAATAGTATATATATATATATATATATATATTAGATTAGATTAGATTAAGATACTTAGATAATCAACACATATTCGTTCTCCTTAAGAACAAGAGTTGTTCTTCTTTGCGATTTCGTGTCTTCATTAATATTCTGTTAAAGTCAAAAGAGCTAAAACTTTATAGATGCATACTCCTCCATCTTGTTTGAGAATGACCTTAATTTTGTTTCCTCATTGACCTTTCTTTTATTTGGAAAGAGTTAGAGGCCTTCCCGCTTTATCCTTTTGGCATTTCAGCAAAATTTACCATAAAGGTAAAATACGAAAAAGATAATAAGAAGAAGAAGAAAGAAGACTAATCAGTAGTTTCTAATTGATCTCACTGTTCCACCTGAAAACTGAGAGAGCGGGGGGGGGGGGGGGGGGGGTGGGGGGGGGGGGGAGGGGGGGGGGGGGGGGTGTGTTGGGGGGGTCTACAAACAGCTGTGCCAAATACAATAATTTAAATTGGTTGTCTAGTTATAATATAATATCTGATAATTATCTATACTTCCTCCCACAAAGCCTCTATAAAAGGAAGGCAACAACCTTCTATTAAAAACTGTTCTTTGACGTAATACTCCGTGTAAACCTCAATATTTGTGTGTATTGCCCTTCTTAAACAATATTCTTGATATTCTAAAAAGAATTTAAATTATTTGTAATGCGTAGCCAATCAGTCCGATGACTTCAAGGGCATGATAGTACGCAATGTAATTAATTCAAAGATGAATTTATTTACATTCTTAATAAAATTGATTTTTTAAAATTTTATTTAAAATTCAAAAGTTAAAAGATTGCCAAAAAAATTGAAGTATACACAATTTACATAGAAAGTAGAAATCATATCAAAATATATCATAAGATATTTTGAACTGCCCATGTATGGTTGAAAACACCCTTAATCACATGCATCTTACGTGATTTTTATTTGCTTACTAATGAGACAATGCTAATGACCTAAGCTCACCATTAGAATTTAGGGAATTTTTTAAAAAAGTCATTTTTTTGCTAAATAATTAGCAAAATAGACCATTTTACTAATTATTTAGCAAAATATTCCTCTTTTGGCATGTTGGCCAAAAGAGGTCAATTTAAAAAAAACAGAATATTGAAAACATACGGGACTACTAGTCCCGTATGTTTTCAGCAGCCTATTTTTTAAAATCGACCTCTTCTTTGACTTGTTGGCAAAAAAAAAAATCTATTTTGCTAAATAATTAACAAAATGGTCTATTTTGCTAATTATTTAGCAAAATCGGTCTTTTTTAAAAAAATTCCCTAGAATTTACATCCTTACGTCAACAAGGGTAACCAAGTGCCAAAAAGAAGTCATACTGTATCAATCTGCACAGGGTGTTTACTATTGTTTTGTGCTAACAAAGACATCTACATCCCTCAAAGCGTCCTTTCGATCTCTCAGAGTATAACAGCTATCACCACCATACAACAGTCAAATATCACGATCCAAAATAAATTAATTTACACAACATTTCAATTGAAAAAATATAAATAAAATATCTAATTATCAACTTAACAAGGACCAATGTGCGTGTAGCATATACACGCATGGAAACACATAAAACTATGAATCTATGATGAATTGTACGCACGTTACTCTCCCCCATTTTCCCCTTTCAAGGAAACAAAGGACCAAAAAAAGAACTCGAAACCAATATGCTTATTACACAATACATTCATTATACGATAACAACAACAAATCATTTAAGACGTTTCACAAAGCCTCTTCAGTTCCCATATCTTGGGCGAAATTTTCAAAGCAGCCCCATTTTTGGGCATACCAAAGGCTTCCACGTGAGCTCCTCTCATCTCAAGGAAACTGAACGTTGTTTCCAACGAACAAAGAGAGAGCTTCGCAGGCCCATCTTCTTCTTCTAATTCTTAAAGAATATTCAGGTGCTTGTACTTTGTGCTTGTCCTCTTTTAGCGATACTGGGTCATCGTTTTTCTCCCAGAATTTTGTTGGGAATTGATAATCAAAAACTTGGGTCTTGGCTTTTTATTGGTAATTTAGAATCAGATTGTTTCGACAGGGTTTTTGTTAAGATGCCGGGTTTAATTGTAATCCTCGTTACTTTATATCATTTGACTTGGAATTAGTTCTGATATTGTGAGTTTTTTTTTATAATGGATTATGTGGGCTTGGTTTCTGATTGATAACTTTGACAACATTGCTCGGTTTCTTGGGTTTTTGTTTAGAATTAGATTGTGTCAACAGGGTTTTTTGCAATCTTAATTATCTTTGTTTTTATCATTTGACTTAGAACATGCTCTGATATTGTAAATACTTTGTGCGTCTCTTGTATTATTATTCTTCTTTCTTGATTTTAGAAAACTTGGTCATTGTTTTTCTCCTAAAACTTGTGTTGGCAATTGGTGATCAAAAACTTAATTGGGTTTTTGGTTTTTTGTGGGTTCTGGACCCTGTCAAGCGTGGATGTTGATTGCTAATTTTGATTCCTTTTTTTTTTTTTTTTTTGATCTAGAATCAGATTGTCTCAAGGGGTTTTTTTAAGAGGTTTGGTTTAAATGTAAGCTTAATGTTCTTTGCTTGTCATTTGACGTAGAACATTGTCTGCGATCGTTTCCTTTTGTTTAATTTGTTTCCTTTCTTTTTTCCAACACAGAAATTTGTCTGGCGAAAATAGCTGAAGAGGAGATTTATTAGTTCTACCATCCTCTTCTTGGCTGAAGGGAAAACAGAGGATTGGGAGATGTCTTTCGAGCTTGGAAATAAGAGGAAGAAGGTATTTTCAGCTTTGTTTCTGTTCCCTTTTCATTTGTTTTATTCCTTCTGATATTTTGTTTGGATAAATATCTTCCTTGTAAAAATCGTTCATCGGTCATGTAAATTGAAAATTCAAACTGTCCAACTTTATCCTTTGAAGAACAAAATGCCACAAACAATTTTGAACCTTGCCATGCACAAAGAGTCATGGTTCGAAGCAGTCATGAGCCATTATCAATGATCATCATACTTTACCACAACTTATTCTACTGTTTTGATTTATATAATTAAACTTGCATTAGGTAATGCAATGGTTCTTCTCTAGATGGTTTTTTGTTCTTTTTTTTTGGCGGCGTGGGGTGCGCTGCGGGGTGGGGGGTTGGGGGGTTCATTCTTTAGTTTATGGCTGAATAAAATTGAAGCATATGCACATTTTCTATTAAAATGCTAAGATTTTACTACTCGTGGTATTGCAGTCTTTATTCCCGAGAATCTGTGGAATGAAAGAAAAGAAAGAAACTAAGGAAAATGAAACCGTGACGTCTTACTCTGGTTAGTTCTTTCACTTTTTGAAGATTTGTAGATTTAGAGAATTGTTTGTGTTCTAGCATTACTAACGTTACATTTTATTTACAAGTTGACAAATTGGGAATTTGAATGGAACTGAAGATTTTAATTACTTAAAGGAAATACAAGAACTTTTTTCTACAAAGACTCCAAATGAACTACCACGTTTTTCTTATGTATGCACTATGTTTAGTCGAATTGAAACTCAACATCTGACATGTTGTGTTTCTTAGAATTTAGGTAGTTCCATATCCATGTCTATTGACATCCACATACACTATAGTGAACTATAATATGCTTTTATGATTATGTTCATGTAGTATCCATAACTTAAGCTTTTAAGCTTGACCACATTATCATATCTGTGTCATGTTGCATAATGTCCCTGGTGCATGTCAGTGATATGTAAGTTCGGAAAATATTAATCAACTCTCACGAAACTTGTAGAGATTAAAAATGCATTTTATTTCCATAGAGTTACAGCTTGCTTGCATGTTCCAAATTCTGATTATCATGGTGCAATTTGACAACCATAAATGAAATTAGTTACTGATGAGTTTTACTAATGACATAACAAAGAACATTCTTTCAAGAAAAAATATAAACATCAATGTACACTAAAGAACAAGAGAAGCAGGTTTTTTTCAGTTTATATCTGTCTGATGAGTTTGTGATGGTACAATATGTGAATTTCCAATTATCTATAAAATGTGTCTTATGAACCATCTTTATTGTTTTATTAATTATATTTTGCGTGACAAAATTAAACAGTTGAAGTCAGTGAGATCCCCGATTTCTCAGAGACGTCTCCTACCCTTAGGAAAAGCTTTTCAGGTATTTCCCTTAAATTGATAATTATTTGCGCTAAACGATTCCAAAATGTTGATTTCTTATCTTTTCTTTCTTTACTGAAACATATGTTAAGAAGCAGATTCAACTTCACGAATAGAGAACTTGTGTTTCGATGATTTTTCTTCCTCAATAACCAAGAACTTGGATTCACAAGCATTCAGGTGGTTTCATGTCCCTGATGTATGCTAGCTCATTTTCTGTTTGATATCTGGCTTTTTTACTTATAATACTGTTTTCGTTTGGTGTGTTCAAATTTCAACAGAATATTCGCTGCTACATGGAATGTCGGTGGAAATCCCCCTCGCTTTGGATTAAATCTCAATGATTTTCTCCCAGTTGATGACCAATCAGATATTTATGTTTTAGGGTAAGATCCAAGACCACAATATTTGAGAGATTAAATTTTTGTCCACAAATTTATATACATAGTTTAATGCACTATTGACTTTAGTACTTTATTTCTTTTCTTCCCTTCATTATGTGTTAGTTTTCAGGAAATAGTCCCTCTGAATGCTGGAAATGTGCTTGTACTAGAAGATAACCAGCCAGCAGCAAAATGGCTTGCTCTGATCAGCCAAGCCTTGAATGGGTCACCAGTTGCTCGCACTATTAGCTGCCCAAACACGCCACTTCAAAACCCTAACGCCTCATCGCCGTTCTCAAAACCTTACTTGTTATCTAAAGATCCAAGTCCTTCTAATAGCATATTGTTCTTTCATAAGCCATCATTAAAATCAGTCAGCAAATCATTCAAAACTGATCAAGGAAGACAACTTAAGGTCTGCAACTGCCCTTCAGAGGTCACGAAGAAATACTACAGATACTCCTGCTTCAGATGCCCGCAACCCTATATTGATGATGATTCATCGGAGGAAGATGAAGAATCAAATAGCTTCATGGTGGAAAATATAACGGCAGAAACTTCAACAGATCAGATGAAGTATAGTCTTGTGGCCTGCAAGCAAATGGTGGGGATTTTTGTTACTGTTTGGGTGAGGAGAGAAATTGTAAGACACATTGGCCATTTACGGATTTCATGCATTGGACGTGGGGTTTTGGGCTACCTTGGTAATAAGGTCAGTTATAGAACTATAAGTTTACTTCTCATGTAAAAAAGATTACAATTTCACCTTTGTAATGTTCACCTTGAGAAACTTATGGTGTTAGTCTGTGTTGTATGAGAGTGAGTAAACCAGGCGTGGTGTCTCTCTCCATAGTGTTGGTATGTTGCTTGGTATGTTGCTGACATGGCACAATTCCAAGCCATCGCCCATTGTCTATGATATGGATGAGTGCTCTGTCAGAAACACACCAATCAGCATCACGAAGGGATACGTACACACGCATGCATACATGCTTACATACATCTACCCCTATTGAATAACTACATTTAATCCATATATTAAATTATAATTTGGAATCATACATTTATCATTTTTTTGAAGTTTTGTTCATTTTTCTTGAAAGAAAACATCATATGGAGGCGCATGTATTGATATCCACAGATGATTTCTTTGTGGATGAATAACTTCAAGGTTTTCTTTGGTTATTTATATACATCTTAACTTACTACCTTATGGATATTAGGAATACTTTCATGAAAAAATGGCTAACAGTTGATCACTTAGAGTTTTTAAGGGGTTTGCTGGTGAATTGCAGGGATGTATATCTGTGAGCATGTCTTTGCATCAAACCAGCTTTTGCTTCGTGTGTAGTCACCTAGCTTCAGGAGAGAAAGAAGGCGACGAGCTAAGGAGAAATGCTGATGTTATAGAGATACTTAAAAATACACAGTTCCCAAAGATTTGCAAGACACCTTGGCGAAGAAACCCTGAGAAGATCCTTGACCATGAGTAAGTACATCTTTTACAAGCACGTAAATTCATTAAACTTCCACACACAAAAAAAACCTGACATTTGGTGTGTTTGCGATTTTACCCTCTTCATGATGTTAGCCGGATAATATGGTTGGGAGATCTGAACTACCGAATTTCTTTAAGTTACTCTGAGACAAGGAACTTACTCGAGGACAACAATTGGGATGCCCTTTTCGAGAAGGATCAGGTACGTATCATGCCATTTTGTATATCACTTTTGTATCGTATTTAAGAAATTGCAGATACAGGATTACTATCTGTTTAAATATTTCTTTTGGTAGCTTAAGATTGAACGAGACTCTGGTCGAGTTTTCAGAGGATGGCGTGAAGGGAAAATTTATTTTGCTCCAACGTACAAGTACTCAAACAATTCAGATGCTTATGCTGGAGAGACTGCAACATGTAAAAAGAAAAGAAGAACTCCAGCATGGTATGTGTATGAGACTGGGACTATGCTATTGCTATGATTTTTAGGCTCGTGAGCCATTAAGAGTAAATGATTATAGAATTGCACTGTGTTATAGATTTATGGTAACTAAGTTGTTTGGCTGATTTATGTGCATTACTATGTTAGGAATATGTTGTATCCATTTAGTTCAACGTGCGGTTTTGGACTAGCAAAGGCATGAGATGAGATTTAGTCTCATAATGGTAGAAAAATTAGTTGGATATATGATTAAATATGTTTGGAATCATGACTCAGTTAAGTTTTGAGTTAATTTATGTGCAACTACATTTACTGTAATTCATCTCCTTTCACGTGCCTTCGCAAACTAACATGTAATATGTCGTCGTGTACACTTTTTGTGACCCATGAAAACTTTGGTTAAGAATCAGAAAGTAGTGTAAATGTTCTTGTCCATGCACCAATGAGGTGCATATATAATTTATTACATAATCATAGTAGAAGCATACGACACTCCAAATTTAATCATTTTCATTGCGGGATGTCTCATAACTGAAGGGTCCATTGCACATACCCCCCCACCCCCCCCAAAAAAAAAATGGAAAAACCCTAGTATCATTGTTCTGAAATTTCTATCTTTATAGTTTCTTATTGCACTCACTAATTCCACTCATGGGCAATATCTTCCGAAATTTCATCCAGGGTAAAAGAGTAAAAGAAATAACTGCGGGGATCTATCTACAATAATGAAACTTTAGTGATAGTTAAAAGCAAAAATAGTTCAGGGGGTCTATATGTAATTAACCCTAAATTTTAATTCTGCCATCATTAATTTTTCTCTCCAATGAACTATTTTCATTTGGAATAATTGATGAATGAATTATCAGGTGTGATCGCATACTCTGGCATGGTGATGGAATCACGCAACTATCATACTATCGAGGTGAATCAAGATTTTCTGATCACAGGCCAGTCTGTGCAGTTTTCTTGGTGGAGGTTGGGGTGCTCGACGAAAGGTTCAAAAAAGGCGCATTAACCCCTAATATGAAGGTAGGAGCTGAAGAGCTTTTGCCAAGAAGCACCAGTTGCAGTTCCTAGATGAAGAAAAAGAAGATGATATTTTGCTGCATTTCCGTCCCAAGCATTGTGAGTATACATAAGTTTCGTACGCCTATATCCATAATCTTACCTGTATTTAAATTACAATGCATTTTTTTAAGGTGGATGGCGGAAACTTTTTTTTTTCTGGAGAGAAATTATCATGAACGTTTTTCAAAAAACTACTGTCAGTTTTTCATACGCCTTCCCCTCAAAGTTTATCGCGTGTCATTTAAAGGCAACATACGCCTTCCCTAAAGTTTGAGGTTTATTTTAGTTATTTGCAAATTAAAGTTTATACTTTAGGTCTAGTTTAGAACTTAGAACTGAGAAAACTCCGTCAATTTTTAAGTAGGTTGTATTCTTAACTCTATAAAAATTGTACAAGTGTACTTTAGTACTAATGCAAGTAACCTTCAAATGTCAAGAAGTACGTTAAGTATAATTTTCGAACAGGTAAATTGTATCCATCATCATTTGGATGTCAAGATATTTCATATAAGCAAAGTATTCATATTTTCAAAATTTCTACACCTATAACAAGTCTATGGCCCCTGTTTTACATAAGTTTATTACTCATTCTTGCTTAAACAATGTTTTTTAGTTTTAATTCCATGTTACTGTACAATTTTATCAATGCTGCAGGTACTAACATTTTGTCGAGGTGCATAGTAGCATGTGGAGGACTAAACCTGAAAATCTAACAATTACTAAAATTGGAGTTAAGTGGTGTCTTTTTCCTTTTTTTTTATTTACTTTTTTATTTTTGAA